CTTTGAACTCTGTCTCTTCCAATAGACTCTGAAATCATGGGCAAAGCCCACCCCTAGTTAGGGCTTAGCTTAGTAATTGACACATGGAGGATACTTGGATGGATGGATGACGGATGGATGGATGACGGATGGGTGGATTGGTGGATAGATGGATGGGTGGATGGATGATGGATGGGTGGATGGAAGGATGATTGATGGATGGATGGGTGAAAGGATAATGGATGGATGAGTGATGGATGGATGGATGATGGATGGATGGATGGATGGATGATAGATGGGTGGATGATGTATGGATGGATGGATGATGGATGGGTGGATGGAAGGATGATGGATGGATGAATGGATGATGGATGGATGGTTGGAAGGATGATGGATGGATGATGGATGGATAGGTGGATGGATAATGGATGGATGAATGATGGATGGATAATGGATGGATGGATGATGGATGGATGGATGATGGATGGGTGGATGGAAGGATGATGGATGGATGAATGGATGAGGGATGGATGGTTGGATTAAAGGGCAGGTTAGGTTTAGATCATGGAAGGAGACGAATACTAGTGGAACCTCTCCTTAATTATAGAGACAAATCGTGTAACATTTCTGAGCTCATACTCTGTGCCTGTCTGGGTATAAAGATGAAGCCACGCTCCCTACAGAGTGCCGCTCCCGAGTGCACTCTTTCACCTTCATGCCTTTGCTCATGTATCCTTCCCATTGCCACCTATGGCATACTAAGTGTCCATCCTGCACTGATGCCCCTGAAGGGGCATCGCTGTTCCCTGGTGCTAGATGGAATTGCTGCCTCTTCTGTACCTCTCTGATGACCCTCACCACATTCTGCCTTCAGCCAATTGTTTAAAATTACAATCCCCCATCAAACTCTTTGTTTATTGAGGGCATGTTTGATGTCACCTTGAGTGCTGGACACTCAACAATGTATAGATTGAGATAGGTTACTTACCTTGATAATGATTGTTTCCTAAGTCTTAAATATAGTGTTATAAATAGGAAGATTTATGAGCTGAATGAATTTCCAGCAGATCATTTTATTTTAAAATTAGAACTGAAGAACAGAGTCAGCATGTCTGTTTGAGTGCAGATACAGATGGCAAAAGAGCTGGGAGTGACTCTTTTGACCATAGATTCTGTAGTCTGATGCTCCTCCCCACCCTAGTTACAGGCTTTCCTTCATTTATTCCCAGACACCCACAGCGCACTGCTTTCATCCTCAGGCTACCACCTGCTCTGGTGGGTCTAGATGGCTGTCACCGTTCCAAGTGTGACACAGGGCAATGTCACATGACCTTTCCTTGTCAGCCAAGAGACTTTTCCAAGAAATCCTCTTGCTCACACCCCCCTGTGTTGAATTGGCCCCTCTGTCCATTCCTGGTGGGAAGGGAGCCTTCTCGGGATGGGCTGCCCATGTTCACCCAGGACCCAGGCTCTTTCCTGTCATGGAGGCAGCTCTTCTGGGCGTTTAGTTTTCCACCTTCCAGTAGTTGTCCTTGACCTCACTTACGAAGTACTTGCTGTTGCTGACATAAGGTGGTCAGGACAGTCTGCGTGCAGGGAGCAGCTCCTTGCCCACTGTGTTTGGGGAACAAGGAGGCCACATGTCCCTGAACATGGCAATGCCTTGATCTCCCTGTGCACTTGGCACCATCACAGCAGCATGTCCCTGGACTTGCACCACCTGCCCCTCACTCACAGCTTGCAGAGGAGCAAACTGAGACTGATGGGGGCTCTGCTGGGTTAGCATAGATCTGGGCTTTGAGCTCAGGGGCCTTTCTGCCATATCCCAACTATTTAAATCAGGTGCTTAGATGTGTTTGGCTCTAACCATTTCCGATGAGAACTTTCCGACAATCATGTCATTCTTCTGCCTCTCACCACAGAACACAGAGCCTCACTGAGTCCCAGGTGACGTGGTTTGTAGCCCTCGGCTCTGGCAGGGCTGGGGGTCCTCTTATGGGTCACTTGGCTTTTCGACCTCTGCTTTCTTAGGGACTAGGGGCTGTTGGGCTGGCCTGAGCAGCTTGCTCTCAAACCAGAGTTTTCAGATGGCTGTATTTTTGGGGGTTCTTGACTCTGGGTTGCCTAATTTTCTGACTTTCTTGCTTGATCAGGCCAGCTGTGACCTCAGGTAGCTGGTGGCATGCCGTCACTGGCAGAGCTGCTCTCCCTGGACTTCATGACATCTTTTTGGATCCTTTGTGGCTCCTCAGCTGTGTTATGGATAATTGACGTTGTCAGATAAATGCCCTCCGGATAAATGAAATATTAATAACGCTATAATGCTAATTTTAAAATACCCTTTGCACATATTTAATCAAATCTTCTCTGGGCTTTACTCCTGTCTTTAAATGAAGCCCAACAGTGCAATCATATATCAAATTGTTCATCTGGCACAGTAGAGGTTTGGCACAAAAACACGCTGTAGGATGACATCGGGTGGGAAAGCTTAGCCAGGCTTTGGAGCTCTTACTCCCTTTGCAGCAATGGAAACTCAAAACCATTTGAACCACTTGTCCATAGAAAGCGTTTCACTAAGTGATAATCAGTATCGGCTTTGGATTTAGAGAAGTTTGGGAGCACTTCACTACACGGGTCTGTGCAGCCCCTCGAAGCATGACCTGACTTGCCCTCTCCCCTCCCCTGCTGAGCACCTGTCACCGAAGACGGGAGGCCAGCGCTGGACACTACAAGTCACACGTCACTGTCAGGAAAACACTTTGAAAATATGTGCAGGATATACAATGATTATGACTTAGTTTTTTCTATTTCTATTGAGGTATAATTGACATTTAACATTATAGTAGACCAAGGCCTTATGCACTGGGCTAAGTAGATGCCTGAAACCACGGGTAGGACTGACGCTTATATTTACTGTGTGTTTTCCTCTACATAGCTGCCTGTGATAAAGTTTAATTTGTAAGTCAGGCACAGCAAGCGATTAACAGCAGTAGCTAGTAATAAAACAGAGCAATGATGACAATGTACTGTGAAAGGAGTTATGTGAATGCGCTCGCTCTCTGATGACCGATCTGAGTAGCGGAGGGGACTGTACACAGCTGGACAGAGGGCCCAGTCGCCTCCTGGGCCGGATGGAGCTGGTGGCGGGACATTTCATCACGATACTCAGAATGGCAATCGATTTAAAACTTATGAATTGTTTATTTCTGGAGTTTACCACCTCATACTTTTGGGCTCCAGTTCACCGAAACCTTGGGAAGGGAAACCACGGATAAGGGGGGCTACTGAGTATTGGTTCCAGGTGTACGGTGTAATGCTTTGGTATTTGGGTGTTACTAAAGATCACAAGAGTAAGTGAACATCCATCACCACATATAGTTACAGAATTTTTTTCTTGTGATGAGAACTTTTTAATATCTACTCTCTTAACAACTTTCAGATACGCAATACAGCACCGTTAACTGTAGTCGCCGTGCTGTGCATTACACCACCATGACTTACTTATTTTACAACTGGAAATTTGTGCCTCTTGACCCCCTTCACCCATTTCACTCACCTTCCTACTCCCACCTCTGGCTACCGCCAGTCTGTTCTCTGCATATATAAGGTTTTTTACTTTATTTTACCTTTAGATTCTACACAAAAGTGAGATCATATGGTATTTATATTTGTCTGACTTATTCACTTGGCATAATGCCCTCAAGGGCCATCCATGCTATTGCAAACAGCATGATTTCATGCTTTTTTATGGCTAAATATTATTCCATTGTGTGCATATTTTATTTATCTACTCATCTGTTGATAGGCAGGTTGTTTCTGTGTCTTGGCTATTGCTTAGTTTTTTTTTGTTTTTCCTGATTATCAAGATGAGTATTCTTGGTTTTTAAAATTTGGAAAGTACCCAAAACTATACAGAAGAAAAGAAGACTCTGTCATAGTTCACACTGGAAACCCGAAGAAGGTTTCTGTTGGCGATTTCATGCACTCCCTTCGGGTCCCCCTCCCTCTCTTTCCTCCTTCCCTCTCGTCTTTTATTCATCTGTTTTTTAAACTACACCAGAATCATACTATATCTATGGTTCTGTATCCCAGTTTTTGTTCCCAAGAATTTGTATTTTCTATGTCACAATAAACGCTTTGCTGTGACAGTTGGGCAGTTTGGATTAAATGTCTCTATTCACGGGCTCACAGCCTTCAGGTGGAGTGGGAGGGTCAGCTGGCTGTGGGTCCATTTATAAATAGCTGTAATATTGCCCATTGCAAATATTGATTTTGATGCAATACTTAAGACATTTTCTAACTTGAAAATATTTTCAACTGAAACGGTTGCCATTTGCAATTTGTCATGTTGTGAGGATTCTATTAAGTGCAATATTTTGGGACTGAATATTTTACTTGGAAAGTTGCATAGGCACAGAAATTCTCATATCTCCAAAAAAAGAGATTGGATTTTAGAGCTGTGCCGACAGGCCTATTCCAGGAAAGATTTATTTTCCTTCTTTTTTCTCTCTTTTAGTTGGGTACTGTTCTAATCTTTTAAAAAATATGGGTCCTCCTAGCATCCACAGATTAAATGGGTTGTTGCTTTCCTGGGACTGAAACAATTGCCTAATTACAGGCTCGGGGATGTTTAATAAACCCATTACTCTTCGTTCTGGGCAGAGACAGCGCTGAAAGAATGATCTGGGAAAACCATTATTACTGAAGCTGGGGGCTGCGAGGAAAGGAAAACATTTTAAAAATATTTTCTTTGCAAAAGTATATGTGTGCTTCAGGACGCCAGTCCAGGCTTGGCCTTTATTTCAGCCCCAATTTTTTCTTCGTAATGCTGAGCTTCCTGCCGAGGAATGTGACCACCCACGCCCCCCTTTTTAAGGGAAGGATTTTAACTTCATTTCCCTTTTAGGACATTCTAAAATAGTGTTTAAGGAATAGGTTTTGTCACTAAATGTCTAGTTGTTCCTTGGTATTAATATTTGGGAAAAAACCCCAAGGTTCAATATATTTACATTCTCTTTTAGGTTGTTCCAAGATCTTTGAAGACCCAAGAAAAGCCGTGTTGACCAAAAGCAAGACAAATGACTCACAGAGAAAAAAGATGGTGGAGCCAAGGGCAATTGGAGGTAAAATAAAGACCCAGACAATCCTATCTTTCCGAGTTAAGATTTTTTAGAAAAATGTGACTATATAAATATTTTGTGTCTTTAATATTTGATATTTGTGGTCCCAAACCTCCAAAGACCTTTCCTTGGACCATCTGGCATGCTTGGAAGGCTTGTGC